TACACCGTCTGGCATTCTATCAAAAAATTATGAGACGTGCAAAGCAGCAAGAAAATGTACCCCATCGCTATGAGAGGAAATGATTATCAGAACTGACCCACAAACAGCACATATGTTGGAATTATCAGACAGGGATTTAAAAATAAACATAATAGGAGCACCTGGGTGGCTCAGTTGGTTAAGCATTCAACTTGAGCTCAGGTCACGATCTTGCGGTTCAGGAGTTTGAGCCCCGCGTTGGGCTCTGTGCTGATAGCTCAGAGCCTGGAGCCTGCTTTGGATTCTGTGTCTCCCTCTCTCTCTGCCCCTCCCCACTCGCACTCTGTGTGTGTGTGTGTGTGTGTGTGTGTGTGTGTGTGTCAAAAATAAACATTAAAAAAAAATAAAAAATTTTAAAACCTAAACATAAAAAATACATTAAAACATCAGGTGGAAAAGGTAGATCACATACACAAACAGGAAATGTCAGCACAGAGAGAACACACATAGAAAGGTATGTGTATATGGAAATACTAGAAATTTTTTAAAAATTCTGTATCAGAATTAAAGAAGTCTTTCAATGGGTTTATCAACAGATTGGCATAATAAATAATTCGTGAAATTCAAGTAAGGTCAATAGAAACTACCCAAACTAAAATATAGAAAGAATTAGTGGGAAAAGGGCCATCTGACACGTTACAGACCATGTCAAGCAGTTTCATAAACATACGATTCAGTCCCAGAAGGGAAAGAAATAAGAGCAAACAATTTTTGATTTTTGATTTGGCGATACATATCTACCCAAGCCTCCCAAAGCAAAACAAAGCCCACACTGGATAAATACAAAGAAAACCACATCTAGGCAACTCATCGTCAAACTTCTGACAAACAGAAGTCAGGGGTGGAGTAAGGAGAATGGGGAGTAACCGCTTCATGGGTATGGGATTTATTGTGGGTTGTGGAAATGTTTTCCAACTCTGTAAGAGACGACGGATACACAATACTGTTAATTTACTAACTACCATCAAAGTGTTCACTTTAAAACTGTCACATTTTTTATATGCATTTCACCTCAACTTTTTAAAAGGAGGGGAAAAACACCAATATGTATTTCTCAAAACAAGGTATAAAATGGCCCTTAAACATATGAGACTAGTCAATTTCTTTCATAGCAAGAGAAATGCAAATAAGAAGTAGGCCAAAATACGATTCTCCACCCATCAGATTGGCAAAAGTTTACAAGCTTGGTAATGATTGTGAACACACAGTGTGTGGCAAGGCTGTGAGTAAACCGGCACTTTTGTACATTGCTGACAAGAAGACGGAACAGTACAGCCCTTATAGGGATATGTGGCAATAACTGTGGCACAGAGCCTAAAGTGCCCCACCTACTGGTGTTCACGCCTTTTTATAATCTGCCCCCTTTAGTGTGTGCAGGGATTTATGACTTGCTTCTTCGAACCAACAGTCACCGTATGATAACATCACATCATAAAAACTCCACTGAAGGCTTCTAAAGACTCCTTGCCGGCCTGGCGAAGTAAGTGACCAGTTGAGGAAAGCTCACAAGACAAAAATGCTAAGGCAGACTCCCACGGCAGACAACAGGAAGCTAGGGCCCTCAGTCCTGCAACCCCAATGAAATGAATTCTGCCAACAACATGAGTGTGTGTGGAAGCAGATATTTCCACAGTCGAGCCACCAGATTAGAACACAGCCCACCAGACATCCTGACGCAACCTTTTAAAGATCCTACACCAAGGACTCAATTAAGCTATGTCCAGACTTCTGACTCCCAGAAACTGTGAAATGATAAATGTGTCTGTTTTAAGCAGTTAAATTCGTGGTAATTTCTTTTACAGCAACAGGCATTTAAACTTGTGGTAATTTCTTTTATAGCAACAGGTAACCAATACACTTATGTCCCACATGCATTTACCTTTCAGATTCAGTAATCCCATGTCTAAGAATTTACACTAAAGATACACTTCCAACAGTACAAAAATACACATGCATATGGTCATTAATTGTAACACTATGTAATCTCGACACCCAACGTGGGGCCCAAACTCACAACCCTGAGATCAAGAGTCAATGCTCTACCGACTGAGCCAGCCAGGAGCCCCAACAATTGGCTATTTCTAAGATAAACTGTTAAGTGAAAAAAGCAGAATGCAACATAAAATATACAGGCTGCTACATTTTGTGTTTGAAAAAAGGAGGCAATTTAGAAGAAAACCTGTATCTGCTTACATTCATAGGAAACAAAAAATAAAAACAAGGACAAACAAGAAATCAATGATACTGATTACCTACATGGGGTGTGGGACTGAGAATGAGGATTGAAGAGATGGGCTATCAAAGGAATAGGAAAGGGAATGACACTTTTTCTGATTATCACAAGTTGATAGCTGACAGCTCATGAATCAAAAAAACAAATATATACCAGCAAGGATGGAGAATGGGGGGAGGACAGAACAACCCTAAAAACTGAAAGCAAACAGAAATAAACCATGATGTACTGAATTTCAAATTAAACACACAACCACACTGAGGGTAGGGGGTTGAAAGGAAGTGACTCTGAGTAACCTGTAAAGAATATTTTTGTGAATAACCCTAGTTTAGGGGAAAAAATAATTGCTAGCAAATCCTAAACTCATGTGGGTAGTTTGTTTTTCATAGTGGTATGGAGGTAGCAATTCTGAAAGCCTTATGTGAGTACTGTAGGATTGAGTGAATGAGTAAATGTATTGATGTTGTCAGAAGCCAGGGTTCTTACTGTGGAAAAAGGCAGACAGATATAGGGAACAAGGAGGCCAAGAAGGAAACCTTTGGGGTTAGACAGGAACTGAAGGGATTAGTATGAACTAATGATTTCTAATATGTGTGTGTGTGTTCTAGCCACTAAAAGGCTCAAAAGCAGTGACATCTTAGTAACAACAAAAATGCCTAGGGCCCGATCTTGGTTTCTATACACCATTCCATATTAAAGGAACTGGGTCCTTGGAAAAACATCCAATTCCAAGGCTAAAGTCGGGAAGATACACAATGGGACTAAAATATTTTACTGTGCCAGAGAAATAAGGAAGCGCTAAAAAACAATTGGGCCATGCTGAAAGGACAAAGGGGCCAACTTGAAGGCACTCCTGCTGGCTAAAGCTGAGGCAATTTGAACAACAACAAACCAACAGTAATGGATCATTACTCACTAAATAAAATAGGAACCATTAGTCCTTTCAGGTAATAGTTTACAGATACAATAGAATGCTGATAATTGTAAAGTTAGAAAATCACCATTCCAGGGCACGTGGGTGGCTCAGTCGGTTGAGCATCCGACTTCAGCTTAGGTCATGATCTCACAGTTTGTGAGTTCGAGCCCCACGTCAGGCTCTGTGCTGACAGCTCAGAGCCTGGAGCCTGCTTCAGATTCTGTGTCTCCCTCTCTCTGCCCCTACCCCACTCATGCTCTGTCTCTCAAAAATGAATAAATGTTAAGAAAAAAAATCTTAAAAAAAAAAGAAAATCACCATTCCATAACCATCACAGGATAGATTAGTTCATGCAAAAATCCTCACTGGCTGACAATTCTAAGGCAGAGAAAGTTTGAGGAGGAGCAGGAAATTAACTGCATGGTCTCAAAGTGTCTCCCCAGAAACTGCTTATCAGTTGTAAGAGGAGAAACAGTAACTGAACAGTAGAGAAACTGAATGACATTTTGAATGGGTAATCAAAATTAAAATTATTATTGATGGACTAACAGACATTGCACTATTCCAAATGTGACATCCTAAAAAGAACACATCAATTATGTATCAATTATGTATTATTTTCAAAAGGACATATAATCCAGATTCAATCATGAAGAAACAGATAATCTCAAACTGAGGAACAGTGTATAAAATAACTTCCTTGTATTCTTCACAAATGTCAATGTCATGAAAGAAAAAGAAAGGCCAAGGAACTGTTCCAGATTAAAAACTAAAATATTATAATGAAATGTAATACAATATCCAGGGCTGGATCTAGACTAGAAAGAAATGTTATTAAGAATATTTTCAGGATAATTTATAAAAACTGAATACAGACTGTAGATTAGAAGACAGTATTAAATTTTCCTCCACCTGATAACTGCACTGTATTTACGTATATTCTTGTTCTTCAGAAATTAACTCTGACGTATTAAGAGGTAAAAAAAAAAAAAAAAAAAAAACATAATGTACACACATTGATCTCTCAAATGGTTTAAATAGTAGCTGTGCATATATGTGGTTTTAGACATACTTGTAAAGCAGGGGAAGGAGGGAGGGAAGTAGGAAGAAGAAATAATGAAGTAAGTGTAAAATGTTAAGAACTGGTGATTAGGGAGAATATGTAAGAAGTGTAAAATGTATGCAACTTATCTGTTATTTTGAAGCTGTTGAGATTCTCAAAATAACACATACACTGGCATTTTTAAAGTACAGTAATTATACTTGCTGCTAGATCTAATTTAGTGCAATACAGGATACAAAGCATGTTCTAGCACAAATTAGCTTTTTAAATATTTTTATAGCTGTGCTTCAAAATTGGTTTCTTGGTAATCTTATGCCTTCTATCTGATCCATTCAGAAATGTTATTCAGAAAAGTGGCCTGCGTAGGGTTTTCATGGCACAAAAAAGTGACGAATCTCTGCTCTAAGCTATAAATCCCCTATTTACTTACAAGTTTGTCGTAATAAGGAAAATTAAATTAGTCTGAAGCTTTTTGCTTTGCCATAAGCAAATTATAAAAGGAAAACATCACTGATAATGAACATCTAACCTTACAAATTTCTAGAGTAAGTGCTACAGCAAAGAGTATTCAAAATATTAACCACAGCTTCACACAAAGCATCTAAAAACACACACAAGACCACACATCCATATATGAAAAAATACAGGCACATAGCAACTATAAAAATGAATCAAGACTGTGACATTTCTTACAGAAAAACTTAGTGCTTATCTTTAAAGAAATGGGTTAAAAATAAGATACTATTTACCATCTCTCTTTTGGAAAATTTTTTAAAATTTCTTTAATGATTGGCTGGTAGCAGGCTTCCCTTTCTGCTTTCCCGGTTTCACTCCAGTCTCTCACAAACTGTTTCAGTGTGGATTTTAATTTATCCATGTCAAATGTAGATGCTGGCATAATCTTTCCATTCCCCTGTTTAAAAAACAGAAATCAATTAGCTTCTGACAAAGTAATCAATTTTGGATATGGTCACACAGACATGCTACTCGGGGGCCATATAGATGGTTTAGTGGATAAATCACTAGCCTCTCACCTCAACCGGGATTCAAGTGCAGCTTGAGATCCTAAATGAAAAGAGCTTGGTGGTCTCACTTCTACCCTCAATAGATTAAGGTCCATTAATCATGAAACCACCATATAATTAAGCAGTCTTTACTCAGGAGAGGACCAGAACTGAGCTCCTATGGAGACGGAACATCTCTCTCTAAGAGAGGGAAGAAAGTCCCTCCGGGTCATTGATGGGGCAGCATGGAGAGGCTCACACTGGAGTGGCCCAACTGTATCTATCCTGTGGATACAAAAAGAGGACTTCAGTTTCTATTACTGCCAGTCCCTTGAGATTTAGAAGTGAAAATAATTTCTTAAAGTAAAAGATAAATATCAATAGATACAAGATACTGACAATGAGTTTAGCAAGGGAAATTAATTTTACACGGCTACTAAAGTTTACAAAAATTTAAGTCACTAACTCTACATGCTAGAACAGTCAGAATACTATGTGAAATGTATATCCATATGGCAACAATTATCTTACTATTTTTAGGGAAAAAAATCAGTGAACAAATCCAGTTTCTGGCATACTATCCTATTAAGCCTAATCAAATGCCTGAACATGTAAGTGAAAACACTCTCTGAGTAGAGCAAATGACTCATGCAAAATATAAAAATGAAATCCAGAAAGATAAAGACCTCAAAAACAGAGGCTAAACCCTAAAATAAAAATAGAACAAACTTTCACATACATCTTCTCCATATTCTTTATTTTCAAACATATGTATGCAATCATTCACAATGGTCAGTAGTATTTCTTGATTATGATCAATGCATTTCCGAATCTTGTCCAAGTGAAGAAGAAACTGAGGAAGTAGTTTCTGTTGGTTATCTGGAAGTGATCGAAATTGTCTTTCTGTTCGGTTCACTCGCTCATGCATACTGGTGCTAAAACATAAAAGGTGTTTTTTAAATTGGCGAAAGAATTCTCACCAGGGCCAATCTTATTTTAAGGTTGTCTTTCTGTACAATTATTCCTTATAATGTTGGATACTGTCCTGTTATTTACAATCTTTTGGTTTCTTAAAGGATACCAACTTAGAAATTTTATATTTTCACCTTATTACAAATTCTTTAGACAAACAAAAGACAAAGAGTTTGTAAGTAGCAAAGTAAACATCTGCACCATTTGGGGGGTAAAAGAAAACATGAAGAGGATTAACGTACAATGAGTTTATTTTTATGATTTTAATTTCCAAGCTTAAAATTTTCAGCAAACTAGTTGAATGCTTTAAATCTATCAGAGCAGAATACTGCTCTGAAATTACTTTAGAATACACAAAATGTGTTTTGAAATTAACTAACAGCCAACCAAGCTAAATTTTTAAAAATCACAAAAGATCTTATGCACTACAAAAGTAGTAAACAAAAAAAAAAATGAAATTTACATGATATTATTCATAATTTGCAATCCAGAAGTTTCCAGATAACTCTAAAGGTCACTTTGGGGATTATCTATTTATAAAATCTGAAAAAAAAAAAACAAACCATCATTTAAAAAAGTCAAATATTACATTTGCAATGAGTGCCATTTTATATCAATCAGATGGGCAAAATCTAAAAGCCTGACTATAGGAATATATAAATATGTATACATATATATACTGATTGATGGTAGGTGCATAAATTGGTACAACCACTCTGGAAAATAATTTAGCATTTCCCAGTAAATCTTAATACACACACTCCCTATGACATAGCAATTATAGTCCTAGACACATACTCAAGAAACTCTCGCAAATGGGCACCAAGAAACTATCTTCTTAATAGCACTGTTGTAAACAACAAACAACCTAAAGGTCCATCACCAGTAAAATGAATGAAGAAAGTACCGTATAATCATACAATGGAAGGTAATTAAATTAATAAACTACAACTAGACACAATAATATGGATAAAACTCACGAATGTAAGTATTTGTCGAAAAAAGCAAGTTGCAGAAAAATGCGTAATGTACAATTCCACCTTTTATAAAAATAAACAATACATTACAGGGACTGAATACAAGTAGAAAAGCTACAAGGAAAGCAAGTAAGTGAAAATTCAATAAAGCGATGTTCTTTGTAGGGAAAGGGAAAGGATGTTTTTTGTTTTTTTTTTTAACCCAGGTGTTAGATTTCTGGGTATTCACTGTATCGTTCTTTACATTTTATACATCCAAACAAGTCAGTCAATGTTTATGTTTCTTCTAAACACTCTTTGGCATTTACTCCATACTAAATAAAAATGAAAAGCACTTTTTCATTTGATTGACTGAACCTTTCTATTCATCCAAATAATTCTCATTTTTATGCCACATCACTAATTTCTGAATAGTAATAAAGATGTTCTGAGGAAGCTCTTGACTAAAGCAATAACCTGACCGTGCTTTTAGAAGCTTAATGTGGTGGCTCTGGTAGTTAGGGGCGAGGGGGGAATGGCGAGGTAACGTGAATAGATGAAATTGGCAGTGGCTGCATGCATGTTTGCTTTTTTCCCCCTGGAGACAGTGTAATAGTGAGCTCTGGAGTCAAAACACATATATGAATTGTAATTCAGGTTATGCCACCTATTTGCTGTGCAACCCTTGGAGAGCTACTTCCTTCCTCTGTGCCCCAATTGTCTCATACACAAAACAAGGTAATACATAACAGTGATGATGATGATGATGATGATGACGACAGAAGTTGTCATTTATTGAGATTTAATAAAAGCCAGGCCCTACATCAAAAGTCACTAAACATGGATTATTATGGAAAATCTCCATAAAATTCCATGAGGTGGCTACCATAATACTCCTCTGCCAACCCAACGGATTTTACTGAAAATGTAACAAAATAATGTACACATATCACTTAGCCCAGGGCCTGAAACATAGCTCAAATATGGTAGGTATATCTAATTTACATAATGAAAATACAAAAAAAAAAAAAAATGTAGAGAAGTAAAAGTCCTCCAGGAAAAAAAGCTACTAATAATTCCTCTTCTAGAGGCAATCACTTCTAACTTTTTGACATATTTCTCCTTGTCGTTAAGACAAAGTCACTTAAGTGCTTTTCTAGTCAAAACGTGATACACAGAACAGCAGATCACTTGGAGGTAACTAGAAATGAAGAATCCGACGCCCCACCGAAGACCTACCGAAATGTAATCTGCCTTTTAACGAGATCTCCAAATGATTCACATGTACACCAAGTTTTCAGAGGCACTTGTAATCATCTTTATCAAAGGAATTTTCCCAGATCAGAAAAAAAGTTCTCTAATGACTACAGCACAAAAGACTATATAGTGACTGTTCATTATCCCATCTATGCAACCAAAATTTACTTATTTCCCAAACACTAGACATCTAGATACTTTCACTTATCTATATGATAAACTTTCTGTTCTAAACTGGTCTATATTTTAGAAAAAAAAAAAATACTACAAATTCCCAAAAGAAGAATTACCAAGTTAGAAAGAATAAGTAGGGGCCCCTGGGTGATTCGGCCGGTTAAGCATCTGACTCTTGGTTTCGGCTCAGGTCATGATCTCACAGTTTTGTGAGTTGCAGCCCCATATTGGGCTCTGCGATGACAGCTCGGAGTCTGCTTGGGATTCTCTCTCTCCTTCTCTCTCTCTGCCCCTTCCCTGCTCATGCTCTTATCTGTCTCAAAAATCAATAAACTCAAAAAAAGTAAAAAAAAAAAAAAAAAAAGAATAAGTATTTTTCAGGTTAACACAAACTGATTTTCAGAAGGAATGCATCAGTTTGCGTTCCTATAAAATAGATTATGACGCTAAAGAATAATTAAAAGTGACCATACTGTGTTAGGCAAACAGTGGAGTTGTGAAGGTTTACAGCTCACAGTCAAATGGTGAAAACAGTCTTACAGTACTTCATTTCTAGTATTCTTGGCCACTGGATGCCACTCAACGTTCCTCTCAGCACACCTCAAAATTCAACAGACACACTGAACGTAGCACACGATCATCCCCCCAAAAAACCTGGCACTTCTTCCCATATGGCTGATGAATGGCACACCATACATCCACTCAGGTCAGAAACAAATGAGTCATCCTAAAATGCCTCTTCTCACAGACCCCACAATCACAAGCCCCAGATCCTTTTGATTCTACTTCATAAACTGTCTGCAAATCACTACCTCTCCCAGGCCCTCATTAGGTCTCCCAAAGATTCCTAAGAGGCCTGCTCCCTGGGAATGCTGTACCCGGCCTAAGTCTACCACCCCCTATGAATTCTAAAATACAGTCTTGTCCCCACTGAATCTCCAGATTTCAGCATATGCAAAGAGCAATGAATACACGTTCAGTTATGTTCCCTAAATGCCATTTTTGATGCTCAATGAAGACTACTTAATTTCCACATTTGCAGGGTAGTTGAGGTAAGTTATAGATTGGTCAGAAGAGCCCACACATATTTGCTGTCAATTACTGATACAGAAGTGATGTTAACAACACAGAACAGGATGAGAGGCTGCATATCTTTTAACCCTTGATTGGTGTGCCAAACTATCCATAACATACACCCACAGTGTCTCTCTTGAAATAAGGGAGGTCTTAGAAGTTGAGAAGAGAGTCTACTCCTTACTACATTATTTTAAATTTTTTTAAGCTTTATTTTTGAGAGAGAGAGAGAGAGTATGAGTGGGGGAGAAGCAGAGAGAGGGAGACACAGAATCTGAAGCAGGCTCCAGCTCCGAGCTGTCAACACAGAGCCCAATGCAGGGCTCGAACTCACAAACCGAGAGATCATGACCTGAGCCGAAGTCAGACGCCCAACTGACTGGGCCACCCAGGTGCCCCCTTACTACATTATTTTAAATGGGGCTAGGCTAGCTTCACTGTTCTAAAGATGCTGACCCTACCAATGTACTTTAAGAAAGGGGTGGGCAAACTATGGCCCCCTGGTTACTAGGCCCATTTTACAAGGAGTTTTACTGGAACATAGCCATGCCCAATTGTTCACATACTGCCGACAGCTGTTTCCATACAGGGCAGAGTTAAATAGCTGTAAGAGACTACCTAGCCTTTCAACCTTACAAACATTCATTGCCTGGCCCTTTAAACAAAGTTTCCCAAACAGCTTTTAAGGAATTTTTTATAACCTTCAGGCTCTCCTTGGTTCTGAACTCAGTGGCAAGAGGCCATATCCTCTGGTGGCTAAGGGGAGAGAGGAGAGCAAGCAGCCATTATTTCCTGGGATAGCTCTGGGATATTATTTCCTTCAGCTCTCTCCGGAAGGCTGGTCTCGGCAGTGACCCCAACTCTGATTTAGTCTCCTTTCATCAGCGTGGGTCTGATACTTCTGGGTCTGAGCCAAGGGCCAAGGTCATAGACCCATTCTTCTGCACCTGTTGAATTACTCTAGAATTCCAAACGGGAAAGCATTATCTTTTCAGAAGGAAAGTCTGTCTCAATCCATTTTAAATATTTATTAAAAACTCACAGTTAGGGGCGTCTGGGTGGCTCAGTCGGTTAAGTGTCCGATTTCGGCTCAGGTCATGATCTTGTGGTTCACGGGTTCGAGCCCCACGTCAGGCTCTGTGAGGACAGCTCAGAGCCTGGAGCCTGCTTCGGATTCTGTGTCTCCCTCTCTCTGCCCCTTCCCCAGCTCACCTCTGTCTCTGTCTCTCTCTCAAAAATAAATAAACATTAAAAAAAAAAAAAACCTCACAGTTAAAACTGTCTTACTAAGTATCACTGCTTACTGATGCAGGGTAAAACCTTAGTGAACAATTCTGGATTTCAGGCCAGACTCTACCACAACTTGGTTGTGTAAGCCTGGGCAAGCTATTTGCCTCTTTATATGACTATTCCTTCACCTGTACAAAAGAACTTTACCTCTCCATGTTTTAAATCTCACCTAATTGCTATTTCTAAAAGCAGGATGTTTCTGATGAGACCTTTGATTTTTTAACTGTAGTATCTTCTCCATGACCAAGTATCTTCATTCATTTTAGGACTGACAAATTTTTTTTTTTTTTTTTTTTTTTTTTTTTTTTTTTTTTTTTTTTTTTTTTTTTGCTATTTGCTACAATACTCGAATCGTTTTTGCCTTAATCAAAATACATCATCTATGCATAATCTGTAGGAAACACAAAGTTGGAAGCCATTGGAAAAACATTAATCAAGACAATTCTTGCCTTGTGATTTTTAATCTAAGTCCCCTATATAATAACTAAAAGACATTTAGCAATAAAAGTAAACTCCACAATTTAGAAGTACTCGCTAAAGCTTCAGAACAGGCTCGTCCATCAGAACGTACTGCAGTGATGGAACGGTTTACATCTGCACTGTCCAATATGGCAGCCACCAGCCACATTTGAAAAGCACTTGAAATGTGGCTAGTGAGGCTGAGAAAATGAATTTTACATTTTATTAAGTTTTAATTAATTTAAGCTTAAATTTAGCGAGATGTGATTAGTGACTACGGTACCACAGTGCAGGTCTAGAAGATCATAAAATGTTGGACTGTAACAACTCAAGAGTATTTTCTGCTACAAAATGCTTTCCATACCCCCTAGTCCTTCAAGTGATGTTTTAAAACACATTTTTAAAATACTATTTTCAGTCTATTTCAATGTTTCATCAAGAGAGTACATGCCAGGAGCACCTGAGTGGCTCAGTTAAGCTTCTTGATTTCAGCTGAGATCATGATCTTACTCTTCATGAGATAGAGCCCTGCATTGGGCTCTGCACTGATAGGAGCCTGCTTGGGACTCTCTCTTTCTCTCTCTCTCAAATAAACAAACACTTAAAAAAAAAAAAAAAAGAGTACACACAAATAAAAAGGATTGTTTTTAAAAAGTGAAAGTGTCCTCAATCCCACATTAAACAGAGGGATGCGTATAGGAAACTATCACAACCACCAGAACATTCACACAAGCACTCTTCTCTATATTGCCACACTTGAGCCCTCCTGCCAGATCAAAGGTCTCTGTGCTCTCACAAAAAGGCCCATTTGATACCTAATCATAAGTATCAATTTTATATATGAATCTGCACAAACACACATTTTAACTAATTGGGTCTACTGTGATTCACTGTATTTCCAGAAAATATTCCAATATTCTTTCTAGAATTTTCATAGTAAAATGTACCAGACTTCTCTGCACCTACCTCTCCTAGCTATCTAAACCTAAGGTCAGTTGTTTCCCCTCCCTGTGGTGATTCTTGAAGGCACAATACTTGCATCAAATTCAATTCTGTGGTTTTCTGCCTTCCTCCCTGTGTTGATACTAAGTAAAATACCCATATGAGTTACTTCCCTTTTGGGCTCCATAAGTAATGCAGTCCACGGTTCCTGTGCTTGGGTTTAATCAGTAAATTATTTCACCAAGATCTTTGCATTTCAAAATGTCATGTTACAAATGTAGTCAGATTCTAAATAACTTTAAGTTTTTATTAAGCAAGTTTCCCAATTCAAAAAAGTAACAAACTACCGACCCGTCACAAATTCAGACTACTTGGGAATGACAAACGCATTTCTTTGCTACTACTTGTCTTATTTGTTAAAAATAGAGCTTCAACAACATATGCCAAGCTCTGGTGACACAAAAATAAATAAGGATCAGTCCCTGCCCTTGAAGAGGTCACAGTCAAGCAATTAAAAAAAAAAAAAAAAAGTCTGCATAAAGCACAGCAGGAGCCCATCTAAGGGAACAAGTTTTACTTGTGCAGGTCATGTCCGTGTATCTCATTCCAACTGCAGACTCAGAACACAGCCGTCGGTGGCCTCATCTCTTAACACGAATGAAAGTGCTATATTTACCTAAAAATCTAAGTCCCTTTCAGATCTCGGAATTAGAATTTTGCGACTAAGCTATTTTAACATCTATCTAAAAAAGAAAAGTGGAAGTTAGGGAGTTTAAAAGTCCTACCACCGGGCCCAGCCCACAGTGAGAATTCGATACATATTTGCCGAAGAAAAGATCATAAAAGCGGTTCTTTGCTGTGCCTTCTCTCATTTCCCTCTTTAATACTTAAATTGTAGAGCATCCGGACCACCTCCGACCTTAATTTCACCCACCAGTTAAAGACATTGAGCGCCATCATTCACCACTAATGTGCCTGTACATTCAAAGCGCCAAGGGGGTTGGGGTGGAAATCTTACGCAGCTCTCACAAGAACTGGCCAACAGTTTGGGAAAATTCGTCCTACGGCATCCCACGTGTAGGTGAACTTGGGTTCTCCGTGTGTTCAGTTTGGAGGACATCGACAACACATACAGATCATGCCCAGCACTGGACGATTTTACCACCATCATCTTCTATCTGCAATTGTTAACAGCACTTTTCCGGTCACCCCCACCGGCCTCAAAGCCAAACCTTTAACGAGGGATGAAAGGCAAGAGAGCTAATCTGATCCTGAGGTTGGAAGACACGAGGCTGAGCAGCAGACGGCGCGGCAGACACGCGGCTGTGCAGGGCCGGGAAGGGCTAACGTGGTACGAGGTGACTCAGGGGCCCGGAGGTCAGATCTGGCGGCCCGGTCCGGGTGCCCCGGAGGCGTGGCGGCCGAGGGCGAGCGCGGCCGGCGCCCCCGTTCCGGCGGGTCCGCCGCAACCAGCGGGCACCTCGATGGGCTGCGCCGGGGTCCGCCACGGGCTTCTTACCCGTAGTAGCGGAAGGCATTAATGATCTTCCAGAAGTGCTCGCGCTCGAGCCGCTCCTCCTCCTCCTCGGTGCTGCGCGCGGCCGCCGCCGCCGCCGAAACCGCCGCGGCTGAGGCCAAACGCCCGGCGGAGAACTGCACTTCCACCTCCTCGCTCCCGCCGCGGCCGCCGCCGCCTCCCCCGCAGCCCTCGGGCAGCTGAGAAGCGGGCGGCGGAGGGCGCCGCCGTCGCTGCATCGCCGCCGCGGCCCTAGGCCTGGCTCGCTTGCGTCTCGCCGCGACTGAGAGCGTGGTGGCGGCTGCTCGGCCTTCCTCTAGACGGCGCCCGCCGCGGACATGCCCCCAGCTCGCGGTGCGCTCCGCCCCCGCCGCCCTCAGGCCTCCATCCGCGTCGGGCTCCGCCAGGTCTTCAGGAGCGCCCGGCACGAGCGCGCATGCGCATGCGAGGGTACGACGGAGGGCCGCGGCCGCCTGCGCTCATTTGCTGCCGGGCCTCGGCGACCGCGCGCTGCCGTAAGGACGGCGCGCCCGATGGGCGGGGCGAAGGGTCAGGTGGGAGGAGCGAAGGAGGGGGAATCCCTAGTGGGGTGGGGCTGGCACCTGCGAGACACGCCGTGGGTTGGGTTTAAGAGCTTGCGAGTGCTGGATTTGGAGACAGGCAGTTGAACTAAGTCTACAGGAAGGGAAAACAGAAAAACTGGTCAGCTTTGATGACTTCATTAGGAATTTTTATTTAAGAAAATCTAGAGGGAAGGTCTTGCGTCCACCCTAATTTAAATCTTAATTTATTTTCGAAATACATTTCCATTTGTAATTACGGAGGGGGGGCGGGGAGACACACCATCATCTTTTCAGTGTTGAGGAGTTTGCGAAAATCCTAATCCCGCCTTGACTGGTGGTGGTAGCCGATGAAGAACATGTTGGACCCAAGCTCAGTCCGGTACCCGCGCTCTGGAAGACCCCCAAAGTGCCCATGAGCCATAATGCCTCAGCGCTGGTGCCAGTAGCCTCCAACGGTGGTCCTTAACAATGCCAGCCTTAACTTCTTTCTCTTCTTCCTCTCTATACATTTTTTGCCTCATTGCTTCTGAGCTCATAGTTAAAACTGGTGCCCCCCCACATTCACACTTAATACTATTCTTAGAAAATAACTTATTTTATTCAATTTTATCTGTCACTCAGAATGTCAGTCTTACAAAAAAGTGCTAAAGGGGAAAGAGTGCTTTTTTCCGAAGAGTTAAATATGCCCAGAGACCACAAATTCAGTAAAAACATATAATGATATTGAAAAGGAAGTGGCTTCATATTTTCAGAATTTAATAATTTAAAAGCAATGCTTTAAAAAGTCCTGTGGTTAGTCTATATTAATGTTACATTTTTATACAAGATTTTTATAAAAGGTTAAAGTATTTATTGAATAGTAATGCAGTAATATATGCTCCAAAATTCAAAAGGAAAATACAAAGAGTTACAAATGTGAAGCTTCTTTACCTTTCTAGCCACTCTTATCCCCTACCCAGACACAATATATCAATTTCTTGCCCATTCTTCCACTTCTTTTTTTAAAAAAAATTTTTTTTTCAACATTTATTTATTTTTGGGACAGAGAGAGACAGAGCATGAACGGGGGAGGGGCAGAGAGAGAGGGAGACACAGAATCGGAAACAGGCTCCAGGCTCTGAGCCATCAGCCCAGAGCCTGACACGGGGCTCGAACTCACGGACCGCGAGATTGTGACCTGGCTGAAGTCGGACGCCCAACCGACTGCGCCACCCAGGCGCCCCCATTCTTCCACTTCTATCCAGTGCATGTTGTTCTTAGAAACTGGTATTTGGAAGTTATATATATATTCTCATATTATTAACTGTTAACCAATACTGTTTTCATATATCATTGCACATACAAATATCCAAATTACCTATGTAATAATTTTGATGCACTGATATAGGTCTCAATGACCTAATTGATATCAGCCAGAATGCTATGGATAATGATAATCAGCAACATACTTTTCATCATCCTGGGAAGGATAATAAACATTTTCAAATTAATCTATGTAGAGGTTTGCTTGGTTCTGTCTCATTATTCGGTGAGAATCTTAGGGTCTATGCCATTAAGGCGCTCCACCTTAATCTCACTTGTGATTTCACAGATAAGGAAACTCGATATTAAATAATCCATGGGGCACAGTACCTTACTGGCACTACACCCACCCACCCACCCAACTCTTGCGCCTGCATTTTATCAGTATTTGGTTATGACCCTGACTGTACTTTTAGAATATTATGTAACATTTAACATTTTTCAATTTTTTTTTCACATCACCTCATTTGTTCACGACTCTGTGAAGGAGGTGTTATTATTGTCTTCCTTCAACAAAAGAAGAAAGACTCAGAGAATTTAATTGTCTTGCCAAGGAGTACATAAATAGCAGAACTGACATTCATCTATTCATTCAGTCTTCTCAACAAATGTGTTGATTGCCTCCTATGTTTCCTGCACTGAGCTAAAGGCAGCTAGAAGCTGGGCTTTTTAGTCTCACTTTGCCGGTTGGAAACTGTGACTGTTTGAAAAGTTACTTGAGACCTTGATTACATTATTTCTAAAATAAGCATAGTACCCTTCTTACAGGGTCGTCTGAGGAATAAATGAGATAAAGAATGAGAAATGCCTGGTATTTCTGCTCTGTAAATGTTGATTTCCTCTCTTCCTTTCAGATGTATCTAGGATTCATTTTTGGCCTTGTTTCAAAGCACTTTTAGGACTTCCTTGACCTAACTTCTTTACAACGAGTACCTCCTATAGAAATCTTCGTAAACCATGGGGCCATTCGGGCAGAAATATTTTCATCAGATCATTCTTTCTTCGGTTATTCTGAAGAACTCTTAGTTAAGCAGTTAAAGCTCACACACTCATATGTTCATACATTGCTAATGGGAATGGAAAATAGAAAAGCCACTGTTGGAAAGAATATAGCACTTTCTTACAAAACTGAACCTGTGCATACTATACTATCCAGTCATTGCACTCTTGGACATTTATCCCAGAGAAATGAAAAAATGTGTTCACACAAAAACCTAATTTACACGAAAGCTCATGGTAGAAGCCAAAATTTAGTAACAACCCAAACGAGTGTTAGTAGATGAATGGTTAAACAAAGTGGAGCACATCCATACCATGAGATCCTTACTCAGCAATGAGAAAAGGAATCATCTAGTTATACACTCGGTAACTCAGATGAGGGGTGCCTGGCTGGCTCAGTCAGTGGAGCATGCAACTCTTGATCTTGGGGTTGTGAGTTCGAGCCCCACAATGGATGCAGAGATTATTTTAAAAACAAATGACTTAAAAATATAACTTAGGTGAATCTCAAAAGAATTATGGTGAGTGGGAAGAAAATCACAAAGGGTTACACATACTGTATGATTCCATTTATATATTTTGTCTTGAAATGACAAAACTATAGAGCTAGAAAACAGATTCGGGGCTGCCAGAGGTCGGAGGAGGTAGGAGTAAAAGAGGTGTCTGTTGTGATAAAAGGGAGTACAAAAGAATCTTGTGATAGAACTGTTCTGTATCTTGACTGTGGTAGAGGTCACACAAATCTATGCTTTGGTAAAATTGCACAGAAATTAATATATATGCCATATATACATAAATGGATACGTACCAAACTGGTGAAATTGAATAAGGTCAATTGGTTGTATCAATGTCAACTTCCAGACTGTGATATTGTGCTATGGTTATGCAAGATAATGCCATTGGGTCGAGAGTATACGAAATCTTTCCGAATTATTTCTTGCAACTGCATACAAATCTACAATAATCTCAAAACAAAAGGTCTTCAGAATCACACATAAACCTGTGACTTCTACTTAATTCTAGATACATTTTTACATATAAGCCCAGAAGAAGCTTCTAAGTAAATTACATAAGTTTCTCATTTTAAAAACTTGAATTATGGAAATTTTCAAAGTAAAATAAAAGTAGAGGCAATAACATAAGCAATCTACTATATTATTACAATCCTTCACCCAATGTCACCAATTCTCAAAAGTTTGTAACTTTGTTTTACCTAACTTCCTCTTGCTGTTTTACAAGGGTGTTCCCAGACATTATATTGTTTTTCCCCCATGCAAACTTCAGTGTGCATGTCTGAGAGGAACTTTGAAAAGATAACCATCATGTCATTATTGTGTCTATCGACAAAAATTAATAATCAATCTTATTAACTTCTAATACCCAGTTCTTATTCAAATTTCCCTAATCGCCTCAAAAATGTCTTTTTGTAGTTAGTTGTTACAACTCAGAACATCATGACTCTTGTATCTCTTCTATTCCTCAAGACCCTGCTTCTTTCCCTCTTCCTTTCTTGTTATCATGGCATTTTTTTGCTCTGTTTTGTTCTATTTTTGTTTTTGTTTTTTTAGAAAGCTGGATCGTTGGACCTGCAGAATATCCCATATTCTGGATTTAGTCTGATTGTTTTCTCGTGGCATCATTTCTTGCTTCTTTTACTCAATACTATGTTTCAAAGTTTTATCCACGTTGTGTGTAGAGCTATAGTTTGTTAGTTTTCACACCATAAGGTATTCCTTGGGTGAACACAGCACAATTGATTTTTTATTAGAAGACACCTTACTTTTTTTCGCGTACACCCCAGCTCCTTTATCCATTTTTTTCTTCAGAACACTTAGCACTACCTGACATTGCAGTCCTGTAATGGTTAATTTTATGTGTCAACTTGACTGAGTCGAGAGATGCCCAGATAGCTGTTAAAACACGATTTCTGGGTGTGGCTGTCAGCGTGTCTCCAAAAAGAGATTACCATATGAGTCAGTAGACTGAGTAAAGAGCATTCTCATCAGTGCAGGTGGGCACCATCCAATCCTCTGGGGGCCTGAGTAGAACAAAAAAAGCAGAGGAAGGGTGAATTTGCTTGGGCTGAAACAATCCGCTTCCTCTGCTCTTGGACAGCAGAGCTTTGGGTTCTCAAGCTTTCGGATTCAGACCTGGACTTACACCTTCAGCCCCCTATTCTCAGGCCTCAGACTCAAGTTGCCTATTTTCAATTTTCTTCTCAATAGTCACATAAGGGGCTTTCCTTCATCACTAAGATTCAGTTGGAAACCACTCAACCCAAGTCAGATTTCTCAGCTGCAGACAACAGAATCCATTCTGGCTACTTTAAGCAGAAAATAATTTATTGAAATGCTGGCACACAAAATTTTTAGGAC